GTTTTCATGCATTACTGTGCAGAAGTCTTAATCCAGACCTTCCTGTAAGTCTGGTTCCTGGTTCTGATCAGCAGGTTCAGTCCTGGTTCTGGACCGGTTCCAGAGAAATGTCTCGTCTTTGACCTTTGACCTGATTCAGTCATAAAACCTCTGCCTTTAGTCTGGTTGTTGTGGGCGGCGGGTGTCAGGGACAGAACCGGGTCCAGGTTCTGATACATGGGTGTGTTTGTGTTGCAGACTGCCTGTTTAAGGTCTGTCCCATGAGCCGGTACTCGGCCCAGAAACAGTACTGGAAAGCCAAACAGGCCAAACATGAGAAGGACAAGATCTCTGACGTGGTTCTGCTGCAGAAGCTGCAGGTGAGACAGGAGGTTCTGGTGAAGGGGACCGTTTGGATCAGCTGACAGTAAAACCTGATTTTCTTCTTGCAGCACGCGTCCAACCTGGAGCAGAAACAGAACGAGACGGAAAACAAGAAAGTCCACGGAGATGTGGTCAAATATGGAACCGTCATACAGGTACCAGAGTCCTGCATGTCCTCAGTGTGTCCTAAACATGTCCTCAGTGTGTCCAAAACGTCTCGTAACTATGTCCTAAACATGTCCTCAGTGTGTCCAAAACGTCTCGTAACTATGTCCTAAACATGTCCTCAGTGTGTCCTAAACATGTCCTCAGTGTGTCCAAAACGTCTCGTAACTATGTCCTAAACATGTCCTCAGTGTGTCCAAAACATGTCCTCAGTGTGTCCAAAACGTCTCGTAACTATGTCCTAAACATGTCCTCAGTGTGTCCAAAACGTCTCGTAATTATGTCCTAAACATGTCCTCAGTGTGTCCTAAACATGTCCTCAGTGTGTCCAAAACATGTCCTCATTGTGTCCTAAACGTCTCGTAACTCTGTCCTAAACATGTCCTCAGTGTGTCCTAAACATGTCCTCAGTGTGTCCTAAACATGTCCTAAACATGTCCTAAACATGTCCTCAGTGTGTCCAAAACATCTCGTAACTATGTCCTAAACATGTCCTCAGTGTGTCCAAAACATGTCCTCATTGTGTCCTAAACATGTCCTCAGTGTGTCCAAAACGTCTCGTAACTCTGTCCTAAACATGTCCTCAGTGTGTCCTAAACATGTCCTCAGTGTGTCCAAAACATGTCCTCAGTGTGTCCAAAACATCTCATAACTATGTCCTAAACATGTCCTCAGTGTGTCCTAAACATGTCCTCAGTGTGTCCAAAACATGTCCTCAGTGTGTCCAAAACATGTCCTCAGTGTGTCCAAAACGTCTCGTAACTGTCCTAAACATGTCCTCAGTGTGTCCTAAACATGTCCTCAGTGTGTCCTAAACATGTCCTAAACATGTCCTCAGTGTGTCCAAAACATCTCGTAACTATGTCCTAAACATGTCCTCAGTGTGTCCTAAACATGTCCTCAGTGTGTCCAAAACATGTCCTCAGTGTGTC